TTCCCCAACTGCATCCCCCCTACCACAGCCTCCCGGGTACTGTCCATGGCCTGCCTGAGTAAGTGTCCCCCTTGGGCCGCTGTCCCCAGATCAGCCGCCTGCCTGGCCCCACCCTGTCCTGAGTGGGAGGATAGAGGGGTGAGATTTCCCTTTGGATCTGGGGTTCTTGCATTCCAGCTGCTGGGGGGGATGCCATTCTCAGGCCACCTGGGCTGGACTTGGCCATGGTCCAATGTAAAAGGTCCTGGCCTCAGCGCCCACCCCCCACTTCCCTCCGCAGTGCTCCTGACGTGGGTGAACAGCTCCAGCGTGCGCTGGGCCACGCGCATCCAGGACATGTTCACAGGCGGGAAGCTGCTGGCCTTGTCGCTCATCATCGGCATGGGCCTTCTCCAGATCTTCCAAGGTAGGGCCGAGTGGGGGTGAGGGCCGGGATGGGGAGATAGTGCTGACCCCCGACTTCTGGGCCTCCAGGACACTTCGAGGAGCTGAGGCCCAGCAATGCCTTTGCTTTCTGGATGACGCCCTCCGTGGGACACCTGGCCCTGGCCTTCCTCCAAGGCTCCTTCGCCTTCAGTGGCTGGAACTTCCTCAACTATGTCACTGAGGAGATGGTTGATGCCCGAAAGTGAGTGGGGCCCCCAACCAGGCCCTGGGAAGCAGCCAGGCCCTCTGGTGGGAGAGGCAGCCTCTCCGCTCAGCTCCACTGCCACCCGAGGCTCAGGCTGGTCCTTGGTGGCCCAGGCCTGTTGCCCTGCAAAAATGGCCCTGGAAAGATAGCCGGGGGGCTTGCATTCTAGCCTGGCCCTGTTTTCTCTGGCTATGGACACATCACAGCCCCTTGCAGGGCCTCAGAAAGGCTGAATATCATCATCCTGCTGTAAATAGATCCAGAGATTTGCATTTGGCCTAAAATTATGCATATGCACACAATATGGTCCCTACGAATGAAGCCAATGACTGCGTCTGATGCTCAGCCAGGGATCTCGACAGTGAACCTTTGCAGCTGAAACGAGCTGGGACTGGAGAGTTCCAGGAAGACTCTGGGTCTATGGACTGGGCTCTGGGGCCATTTTGGGGAATTTTCCAGGCTGATTTTGGCTGTATGCCATTTTGTCTTTCTGCACAGACATCAGACCGTGTCCTCAGGATGTGATGGGGCCCCTTCCCCATCTCCCATCCTACCAGCCTGTGTCCAGGTGGGGATGGGGCAGGGCAGACAGCAGGGTCCCCTTGTCTGGTGCAGCACTGCTGCCCCCCTTTCCTGCCCCAACACCCCCAGCAGACACAAGAGATGGAGACTCTGAGCCTCTCCCGTGGCTGGGTCTCCGGGGTCCTGCACCCTCAGGAGGTGACGCTGACACACTCCACTGCCTGTCCCCAGGAACCTACCTCGCGCCATCTTCATCTCCATCCCACTGGTGACCTTCGTGTACACCTTCACCAACATCGCCTACTTCACAGCCATGTCCCCCCAGGAGCTGCTCTCCTCCAATGCGGTGGCTGTGGTGAGTGGGCCCTTGCTCGGTCCCTGGCTCCTGCCCAGGCCCCTGCCCCGGCCTCACACACAGCCTCTCTCCTGTGCCCACCCAGACCTTCGGGGAGAAGCTGCTGGGCTACTTTTCTTGGGCCATGCCCATCTCCGTGGCTCTGTCAACCTTCGGAGGCATCAATGGCTACCTGTTCACCTACTCCAGGTGACTACACTGGGGAGACGTGGGCATGGGGAGGGATGGTTGGGCACAGGTGCGTGCAAGTCATGCCGGGGGGGCCAGAGGAAGGGAAACCTGTCAGGGGCAGGGATCCGCCTGAAGCTGGGGTGATGATCCCACCAGTAAGAAGTGTCTGATCACAACTGAAAGGCAAAGAAAGCAAGAGGGAGGCAGGTTGAAGAAGGTGAAGAACTGCCCAGTGGGGCTGCTGGGCCCAGAGTGGGAGGTCAGAGGCGACAGCTTAAGAGGGACATCAGGTCTGGTGCCCATCTCTGCCCCAACACTAGGCTATGCTTCTCTGGAGCCCGAGAGGGGCACCTGCCCAGCCTGCTGGCCATGATCCACGTCAGACACTGCACCCCCATCCCCGCCCTCCTCGTCTGTGTAAGTTGGGGGACCTGGGCCAGGCAGGGTGTGGAGGCAGGGCTACCCGGCAATGCAGGACCTTCCGGGTAATGGCAGGGGTGAGCCATTCCGGGGTGGGGGTGTGGGGTGGGGCCAGGGCTCATCCTGTAGGGGTGACAGGAGGCAGGCTAGGGGCCGGCCGTCAGTCCCAGGTCCTCTCCCAGTGCGGGGCCACAGCCATCATCATGCTCGTGGGCGACACATACACGCTCATCAACTACGTGTCCTTCATCAACTACCTCTGCTACGGCGTCACCATCCTGGGCCTGCTGCTGCTGCGCTGGAGGCGGCCTGCGCTCCACAGGCCCATCAAGGTGAGGCCCTGGGACGGCTGGCCCCTGCGCTGGGTGCTGCCAGAGCCACCCCTGTATCCACAGTGGGCACCAGAGGCAGGTGGGATGTGAGGTGCCAGCTTTTGTGGAGTGTTCGGCCCTGCTCAGGGCTCTCTGTGCACTGAGGCATCCACTCCTCATAGCACCCCATGAGGACAGAGCTGTGAATGCTCCCAGTGTACAGATGGGGAAAATGAGGCTCAGGACTGGGTGCAGGGGCTCATGCCTATCCCAGCACTTTGGGAGGCCGAGGTGGGAGGATTGCTGGAGCCCAGGAGTTTCAGACCAGCCTGGGCAACATAGCGAGACTTCCTCTCTGCAAAAAATTAAAAATAAAAGGATTAGCCTGGTGTGGTGGTGCGCACCTGTGGTCCCAGCTACTTGGGAGGCTCAAGTGGGAGGATTGCTTGAGCCCGGGAGGTCGAGGCTGCAGTGAGCGGTCCTAGGGCCACTGCACTCCAACCTGGATGACAGAGGGAGACCCTGTCTCTAAAAAAATAAATAAATAAAAATTAAAGAAAATGAGACGGGAACTGTTCAAGGTCACAAAGGCTGCCAGGATTCCATGGGCCCACAGAAAAACAGAAGACCATAGCCTGAGCTAAAAGCAAAGCCCCCCAATGTATGTATAAATCCTTATATGGAGAAGTGCTCGGTGCCTGAAATGTGAAACACCAAAAAATCACCGACCTCCGGCCAAGTGCAAGCGTCAAGTCCACACACAACTGCTGTGTGGAACTCGGTGCCGCTGAGACTTTGAAAAAATCCTCAGCAAAACTGGCCAACAGCCTGACACATGAGTTGGCCTCAAACACACTGGGCTGTCGCCAAGAGGAGGGGTAGGTGGGTGCAATTGCCGTTCAGGCCTCAGGTCCCAGGGAAGGGAGGAAAAGTCCCCAGACCCTCAGGGGTCAGGGGTACAGACAGCTGGGGGTCCTGCACCATCGGTGTTTCTGCTCCCCCTTCCCCAGGTGAACCTTCTCATCCCCGTGGCATACTTGGTCTTCTGGGCCTTCCTGCTGGTCTTCAGCTTCATCTCCGAGCCTATGGTCTGTGGGGTCGGCATCATCATCATTCTTACGGGGGTGCCCATTTTCTTTCTGGGAGTGTACTGGAGAAGCAAACCAAAGTGTGTGCACAGACTCACAGGTGAGCCGGGCAGCCGCAGGTCACCCGGCACAGAGGGCCGGGGCCTGGAAACGGGACCTCCTTCTTAGAGGCTCACCCCAGAGCAGGGTGTCCTAGCAGCGGAGGTGGGAACACAGGGCCCAGCTGCCGCCACAGGTCTCTTCCCAAGATGTACCCAAAGTTTCCAGAACCATGCGTACCGACGGAACAGCTCCCTGAAGACCCCTGCCCGAGGGGAGGTGTCCGGAGCTGGGGGTCGCCCCTATCCCGAGAGGTCAGGCCCCAAGGTCCATCTGTCTGTCCTCAGAGTCCATGACACGCTGGGGCCAGGAGCTGTGTTTCGTGGTCTACCCCCAGGATGCCCCTGAAGAGGAGGAGAATAGCCCCTGCCCACCCTCCCTGCTGGCTGCCACAGACAAGCCCTTGAAGCCACAATGAGATGTTTGTAGAGACTGAAGCAGCTGTTTCTGTTTACATGTTGTTTATTGAGGAGGCGTTTTGGCAAAAAAGTTTTTCTTTTTGTTGTTGTTTTCTGGGGGGGAAAAAAAAAAAAGATACGACTCTTAGAAGCCTGTTTTAAGGAAACCCTGAAATGTGGACTGGGTTTCCTGTCTTAGCGCTGCCCTGCTAGCTTTTCCTGAAAAAGCCTATAAATAAACAGGGCTGGCCGTTCGCTCGTGCTATGGGGAGTCCATGATGGGCACAGACGGGAGTGGTCGGGGCGTACCTCGGTGGGTGCACACATGTTGCTGGCCGGGAAGACGCTGTGACAGGCCCTGGAGCAGACTGTCGACATTAGGGGGCTTTGCTGCTTGACACAGGCACTCCCTACCATGGCACCCAGAGTCCCCCTGCCCTAAAAGGTCGTCGAGGGGAGCAGCTCAGTCCGCCCCTCCCCCAGGCCCCTCGATGCCAGTCTGAGCTTGGCCACCCAGGAGAGCTCGGGGGCTCCCAGCTGGGATCGTCTTTCTTCTCATAAACCACCACAGAGTGAAGGTCAGGACTTTAGAGCCCACAGTCTCACCCTGGCTTACAGGTGCGGAAACTGAGGTCCTGAGCTAGGATGGAACAGATGTGGCCACTGCTGTTGGTGTCTCAGCTTCTCTGTCCCCAGAAAGCACAGAGCAGCATGTCCTGGGGGCTTTGAGGCCTGCAGGGAACTCCAGGGGCTTCCTGTATGCCAGGTATACACCCCAGCCCCGCCACAGTGCCCAGGAGATTGGACCCTCAAGGAAGGCAAAGGGCACCTGCCTGGTCAGGGGCCCGAAGGCTTGGCAGGAGCTGCCCAACCCAGGTCCTCCAGGGGCCTTGCTGAACAGGAAGAGGGTGAGGCATGGGCAGAACAGTCACCACGGATGAGACCCAGCATCCCCATGGCCCAGCCCCATCCTCATGACAACTCCCAGCTCTGTGGGCAGCTGGTGCCACTGCAGGGCAGATGAAGCAAAAAAGCTCTGGTCCTCTGCTTCTTTGGAAATGGGTTCCCAGAATGAAGTAGGGGGAGAGAAGTGAGACCCCAGGGTGCTTGTGTACGCTGGGATCCTACAGACGGGCTCACCGCTCCACCCTTCTCCCCGCCGTTCAGTCCCAGAGCTCCCGCCCACCATGCCCACCAGTGCAGCCAGCTGGCTGAGGGCCCAGCCCCTCCGCTGGGGTCCCCGGAGGGCCTCTCCATAAGAAAGGACGCAGAGGCAGGGTAGAAATGACTGTGTATTCCCTGGTTACAAAGCGGGGCTGTGGCGGTCACCAGCGAACCCGGCGGTCAACAGACCAACAGGGCCTCGTCATCGCTGGCCTCCAGCATTGGGGAGCAAGGGGGCGGGGGGCTCCTGCAGACCCCCAGTGGCTCTGGCGAGTGGGGGCCCAGGGTGCTGCTGGCAGTGGAGGCCTGGGGGTGCGGGTCCTGGGCTGAGCAGGGCTCCCGAGGTGCATCCGCAGGAGCTGGACCGTCTGCCAGTGGCTCCCTGCAGACCTTTCTGTCCTTGTCCACAGGCCTGCACTGTGGGTCTCGCAGGCCTGATGGCAAGGGTGGCCCTGAAGGTCCCACCTCCGGTGCATGGCTGGGGGCACTGGGGGGCCCATCTCCGGCCACCCTGGGGCTGCCTGTGTCCGTGAGCGGTGCTGGGGGGTCGGGGGCAGCCCCTGGAGCAGGCTGGAGGAACCCATCACCCAGCACGGTCTGTGAGGGGCGTGCTGCGGTCAGCAGTGGGATCTGGCCTCGGGGCACCCGCGGCCGGTGAAAGAGCCGGTTCCAGAGGCGGCCAAGGCGGCGGCGGGAGGGCCCCCGACGGGAAGCGTGCCGACGCATCTGTCTCCGCATGGCTGTGCGAAGATTCTGCAGCACAGAGGCCTGTGGGGTGGGGCGGGGTGGGGGCAGGGAGATGCGGCTGAGGGGGCGGCCAGGCTGCTCAGGGGCAGGAGTCAGCACACCCCCAAGGGACCTGAGACCCAAGAGACCACCTTGTCCATCCTCCCACCTGGCCATGGGCCCCCAGGTCACCCTGCCCAGGCCTTGCCTCCCACTCCTGTGACCGCTGGACCAGCCTCCTCCGCACACTGTCCCACCTGGCCCCAGAGGGGCCTCGCGCCCTCCAGGGGCTCACCTGGGAGGCACTGTAGACAGGAAAGTCCTCCACGGGTGGAATGAGGCCCTGCGCGATGAGCTGACCATAGGATGGAGGTGCCTCCCGCCGCACGAACTCAGCCTCCAGGCGCGTCATCTGGGTCTCGAAAGCCCTGGAAGCGGTGGGCAGAGGGCGACATGGCTGGGCTGCCCGGGACCTGCAGCAGCAACAGGATTCCGGGTCCACCCTCCACCCAGACATCCCAAAATGTAGGGACCCCAGTGTGCACAGGGCAGCCTCCACGTAGCTGGTCCAGGCCCCCATCTGCAAACCCACAGCCACGGGGACAGCAAGCCTGGGCGATGAAGAAGCCCAGTCCCCTGGCTGTGGGCACAGCGCCCACCTGTACTCCTGCGTGCGCAGTGAGTAGAGCTTGAAGGCGCAGCCCAGCGCGATGACCAGCAGCAGGCCGCACACCAGGCTGCCGATGAGCGCCGCGGTGATGACCTTGCGGGGCACGGCAGCCAGGCACCCGTGCTCATCGCTGCCGTCCTGGCAGTCTTCCTGGCCGTCACAGCGCCACGTCTCGAAGATGCACAGGTTAGTACCGCAGTGGAAGGTGCCGGGCTGGCAGGAGAAGCAGTTCTTCTCGTCTGCGCCGTCGGGGCAGCTTTTCTGGTTGTTGCAACGGTCGGCAGGCGTGTAGCACAGACCACTGCCACCCTCGCAGGGGTACTGATCGGGCGGGCAGGCAGGGCAACCCTGCTCGTCTCGGCCGCTGGCGCAATGCCACCAGCCGTCGCAGCGCTGTGGTTCCGAGAAGCAGCCCTGGTCGCCCGCGCTGCCCCCATCACTGTCACTGCTGCTCCCGCACGGCTGCTCCCAGGGAAGGCAATAGCCCTTCACCTGATAGGTGGCGTTGAAGCCGTGGCCGGCGCTGCGGGCGCGCGCATGGTACGCCACGGTGAGGCGGCCCTGGGCGGCCTCCAGGCTAACCGGCCGGTGGTTGCTGCGGTAGGACAGCGTCTGCAGCAGGCGGTCCCCGCGCTCACCCAGGCCCTCGTATACCTGCACGTAGTCGTCGTAGCCCAGCCGCAGTTCCAGCTGCAGCAGCACCCGCCGCGAATCCTGCGTGTCCACCAGCCATGTGCAGTGAAGGTCCGAGGGCCCACGGGCCGCGCCGAACAGGTCTGGGGAGGCAAAGGAGCCGTAGAAGCTGCCCAGCCGCCTGCCGCACGCCAGGTCGGGGCAGCCTGCCTCATCCGAGCCATCGCCGCAGTCCTGCAAGCCGTCACAGCGCCGCTCCACAGGCAGGCAGCGCGTGGAGCGCGCCCCGCTGCACGGAAAGGTCCCCCCGGGACACAGGCTGCCTGGAGGCTCCGAGGCGGGCGCCGAGCAGTTGCCCTCATCAGAGCCGTCTCCACACTCATCCACTGCGTTGCACTGCCACGGGCCGGGCAGGCACTTGCCATTGTCACAGCGGAACTCATCTGCCTGGCAGGACGCCTGGCCCAGCTTCCCTGTGGGGTGGAGAGGTAGCAGGGGACAGTCAGGAGACAGAAGAGCCTCCCTTTGGCTAGGGGGCCTGGGGCCAAAAGTGGGCAGGTGGTTCCCCATCACCGTGGAAGCAGAGACCCCTCCAACACCAGGGTGGGCTCAGTCCCTGACCTGAGTCTGGGGTTAGGGGTGAGTTCCCACAACTAGCCAAGACTGGGAAGTGGGGCCAGTGACCTTGAGAGGTCTGAGGCATCCACATGCCCAGTCCTGCCACTGTCCTGAGATTGACAGGGTGGTCAGGGGACATCCTGCAGGGAGCCGGAGCCCTGTGGAGGGTGCTGCCCCTGTGGGCTGGGAGCCTTTTGGCATGCACGGTGTGCTCTGTGGTGTCCTGCCTGCTCTGCGACTGCTATCACCTCGGATGTAAGACAGACGGAAGCCCTGGGCCTGGCCGGAGCTGGAGGCGTCTGAGTGGAAGAAAATCCAGACGTGGTCGCGGGCAGAGATGAAGGCAGGCGGGATGGCAGAGCCACAGAGGCGGAAGGCCTCCTGGCGGGGCGGGGCTGCTGGGCCCAGCAGGAGCCAGTCCAGGGAGCACTGGTGGGACTCCTCCACATCAAAGTTGCGGAAGCTGCGGGGAGGCGGAGAGGACCCAGACATGAGGCCGTAGGCAGGACCTCCATGGCTGAGGACTAGCAGAGAGTGGTCAGGCTGGAGCCACGGCCAGGACAGCCAGCCCCATCCCAGCCGGCCGCCCCCACTCCTCGTGTTCCAGATTGCCTGGTTCCTCCACTCCCAGCCACTCTGTCCCCACACTGTCCCCATCCAGGTGTGCACGGGAGGCTCCATGAAGAATTGCGATGTCCATACAGGTCATTTCCAGCTCTGCTGCGGCTACCCTTCCCTCCATCAGTGCACATGACACCCCCAGCCTGAAGCCAAAGTGCAGCAGGAAGTTAAGAGCCCCCCAACCCGACACCGTCCCCAAAAGGGCAGAAGCCCAAGGGCCCAGACCCCTCCACCTCGGGACCACTAGGATGGGCCCAGCACAAAGTCCCAGGCATGGGCAGTGAGGGTGAGACTGTGCCCATGAGGTTGGCCGAGGCTGCAGCAGGTTGACAGCTTGTCATCTCCAGAGATACACTGGCCCTGAACCACCTGGCCCTTGGGGAAACTGAGGCACAGAGACTAGGACAGACCCTGCCCATGCCCATCACATCCTCATGCATTGCAGCTATGGAGTAAGTCGGGGGTTGCACCTTTTGAGCTCTGGCATTTAGGAAAACTATGGCAGATGGAGCCTATAGTGACTCCCCACCCAAATGTCCCCATGACCACTCCTGGCCAGGACCACTGTTCGCTGCCTGGCCCCCTTTCCCTCTGCATGTCCCTGCAGCTCGAGCACCCGGGCTTTGCCTGATTCACTCCCCTCCCCAAGGCCCCCTGTGGAAACCATGCTCTGGGCTCAGTGCCAGCCTGGCCCCCAGCCACCCCTGCAGGACAGAGAGGACACCTCTGCCACCTCAGAGACATCAGACCATGCCCACCAGTCCCAGGCTGTGTTCCCAGTGGCATGTGTGCTGGCCCTGCCTTCCTGGCAGGGCTGAGTGA